AGAGAGAGTAGGCCTACCGTTTGTATCATGAATGACTGAAGTAGAGATTCAGAATTCCAAGACCTAATAATGTTAAGATCCTCTCTAGCTATATCTAGATCTAGATCTAGATCTAGATCTAGCATGGATGGTGTTCGAACAATTTTTTTTACAGTTATACAGGGTTAGAAAAACAAAACTACCTTCCTTCTGTAGAGTCCAAATTTGCGACCCGTCGGTGTGCAACATTCCTTTATCAGTGATGATCCTGATCTTGACACCTCGTCTGTGGAGCTTCAACAAAATATCTGCCAGGTCTCTACATGTTATTACAAAGACACAGACATCGAGTGAACGCTGGCTTGACATCATGTGTTTACACAATTCACTCAACGAAGTTTTACTGTGGGAAAACTGACAATTACTTTTGAAACAACCATCTCCTGAAATAAAGTAATCACGACAGGCAACATCTTTGTCGGGGAAAAATAACACTTGCAACGATGATTTGCTCAATCTACTTTTACTTTCGTTTTCTTTTCGATGTTTTGACTTACGTTTGTACTTTCGGTATATTTGGTAAATTATTTCGCTTCCTATAAAGAGTGCAGTAACGTAGACAGCGCCCTTTAGAGTTGGATGCATTGTGCTTCAAGTACAGGCCTATCAAGCTGCTGAATTCTGAAAAAAAGATGTACTGTACTGTAACGTCCCCTATAATTCGGTTCTTGATCTATTCCAGCATTTTCTTTTTGGTCCTGTCTCTATAGTCTAAAGAGTCGAGTGAGGTAGTGAGGTGTAGTTTCTTTCTATTCTCCAGATTTATGATTAACACAAACCTTATGGAGGTGAAAACATTGAAAGAATTAAGGGGACAGTAAAGATATAAAGTAAGATACACTTGTATTGTATTCACTTGAAAAGTTATGCATTATGAACGTGATTGAACAGAAAATTCATATTACACCAAAGAGATTAAGATAATCAAATTCCAATGACTGCCCGCCAAATCGCTATTATTATGCCCACAATGGACACTCTGTAATTGTAATAACGGGAAATCCACCGGAAACTGAGCTGAAAAAGTGCCAAGTACGGTAACTCTTCTTATCCGGGTTGACGTTGCACGCAATCTCAAAACTATGGCTAGCAACAGAGTAAGTTTGATGTAAAACTATTGACTAGATCTAGATCTAGATCTAGAACTAGATTCTAGATCTAGAAGGGCCCATTATTTATCAATGTTCCAAATTATGTTAAATTTTTACTTTCACTCCCACACACAGTCTACAGATGCACTGCTTCAGGGGTCAAACTGTGGACTGTGGTGAATTGCAGTACTTGAGTACTGTTTGCTGCAGTTCGCAATGTATAATAAAAAGTAAAGACGGTAAATAAGCCACTTAGATTAGCATATATCAAATTATATTATTGGTTAAAACAGGCTATAAAAGTCAAGGGTAAGATTGAAGAATACCGGACCAGCGGACTGACTCAGCCTTAGCCTAGATCTAGATCTATGTCTCAACCTTAGCCTTAGGAATTCATAATTTTCCCATTTTTAATAACTCTCAATGGAGAATCTCGAACCGATAGATCTATTCATTAAAATTTTGTCAGGGGGGAGACCCCCCTGAACCCCCCCTCCCCCCTTCTCCACCCCAACCACCCGCCCCACCAACCCCACTTTCTCGCGCAATAATGTACGAGTGGTCCGGTCAATCTTCCCAGCTCAAGGCCAAGGGAGGACTTCCGTAACGAGCGACCACTATGAGACAGAGCAGAATTGAGGGCTAGGGGTTGGGGTAGATCTTCTAGGGTTAGGGTTAGGCCTTTTCTTTATTGTGTTTGATGGGGTGGTCGCTTGTTACGGAAGTCCTTCCAAACTCAAGGTCCTGCGTCTGTGCTGAGATGCGAATCTTATCTGCAACCGACTACAATGTCGGACGTTCCGGACTGACCACCGGGGTCATTCAGTTTGTACTGTTGTTGGTGTACAGCGAGAGTGCCTGGAAACGTGTGTTTTCGCCATGAATAGGACCGCGGGAGTGTGTTAATGATGAAAATAACGCTCTATCTTAAGCTTTCTAGAATCTATTTATAAAGTGTTATGAACACGTGAAAATAAGCCCCCTAGATCCTAAGCTGATAAGACATTACGAGTAGTTACGCCCTTTTGAATACCTAAATCTTAACGCTCTTGTTGTTATGAATGATCGGGGGTTCGAAGGGGGATAACATATATATAATATATGTCAATTTCCGAATGTTTTGCTCTCAAATTGTTCTTTTTACTGCACAATGGTATTCAGAACTATTGAACAAGCTTTTTTGTTATCAGGTAGTATCATTTCATACGAAATCAAGCTCATTTGAAAGATTTTGTATAGAAAAATGGAAGTCTTGTTTCCTGACTATCCTTTCGAGCTCCCTCATGTCTAAATGGGTCGATTTGTTCTAATTTCATTGGACGAACAGCTAGAGCTACCAACTTGGCGTGTTTTGAATGGGACGTATGTCTCGGTTACGACCAAAGCAGGCGGTTCTAAAAGTAGGCCACAAACACCCACAAACTCAAGCAGACTGATGCCCGCACGGAATGGAGATGATGCTCGGCACGTGTGCGCTGAGCCAGGGGCCGGACTGACAAGGGACCGGAACGAAGGCGAGGCGTCGAATTAGGCCTATCGGGCGACATAAACGCGGCTCCCGCAGGACGAGGGTTAAGAACAATCACTGTCAATCAGATATTTCAAAAACTAGGCTCTATTCATTTGAGACAGAAATGAAGTTGATATTCGTGTTGAGCGCATCAATATTTAGTAGAAAATGGACAACTGGTAACTGGTAGCTAAGTGTGAGACGGGAGGGAAAATAAAAAAATACCCATTGAATTCCTTTTCTATTATAATTGAAACAAAGGAACGTATCCATCACTCTCGATGCAGATCTCTGTGCTGCTTCCCCTCAGGTAGCTAGATGTAGATTCAGATCTACTTCATTATTCAGATGGTCAGACGAAAGAAGAGCCTCCCCTACTACTAGACAGACTAGATCTGGACCTAGATCAAGATCTGCACACTACACTACAGTACTAGAGACACTAAGTTACTATTATTTTTTATAGATCTAGATATAAATATTATTTAGACATTTTAAAGTGCTGTCCGATTTTGGGAAAAAAACTAAAAACACACCCCATAAAAATAGTCATTGACGCTTCGAGGCATGAAGTTATTAATATTAATATTATTATTCACGTTATTTCCATCCATGTGTGATTAGCTTAGCTTTTTTCATGAAGAAATATAATTTTACGAGTCCATCGAGTCAATCAGAAGAAGCATCGCTATTTCATAGTTAGCATTTTTCTACCATTCACAGCACTTCAGTCAGTGATTCTCAACGTCAGCTTAGTCCTAGTGAGTGTGTGTCTGCTTGTGCCACTTCACTGTCGTACCGTGGCTGCTGCTTATGCAGTGTGGGTGGTGATGAAATGATGTTCTAAGAAAGAGGTGACAATGACAATAAGATGAGAGGAGGAGAGAGGGAGACTTTATAAATTATAAAAAGAGGCGAGCATGTGGCCAGCATGGCTCATAATGATATTCTCTAACTCTATCTCTCGTTTCATCAGTCCCAGCCATCACCCCCATTGCATCTACCTTCCCAATCATGCCTAATGTGCAAGTTTTAAATTTGTTGACTGGGTCTGAAAATTATTGATCCTCAGCTGAACTCATTGGAACACTACAATCTTTTGTTTTTCTTTTATCACACAGTCGTTATTAGAGGATTCAGAGACTACTCTCAACTTTGGAGAGGAGGAGGATCTCGACAGAGAAAAACGGATAAAGTAAGGTTTACTTCTGGTCGTTTAAAAAAATTTACTTCTAGAATTCAATTATTGCAGAAATGTTTCATTAAAAATTTATTAACTCTCCAATGAAATATTCATTCATAGTTGGCTGCTTTACTCCTTAATAATTTGAGCATTCAATGGTGCAAATTATTTGAATAAAAGTAACTCTTCAATCCCCCGTCCTCTTTTTTTAGGGCAGTAAATAAAAGCTCATCTGTTAATGTCTGATGATGATCAATACATCCACGTAGTAGAATATAATATTTCTTTAGTGAAAGAGAAGAATTTCAATTAACGGTTAAGATGACTTGTGGCTTCTGCTGTGGCTTATGAGACCAATTATGGCAGAGAAAAGTTTGCCACGTTTTGAAAATATAAAAGGGCAATAGTAATAATACACTTAGTTCTAAGGCTTACAGTTTTAAGGAAAGGCAGATAATGTTAAAATTTTAATCCACTGTTGTTCCTTGATAGACTGAATATTTATACGAAACCAGTTGAAAATAAGTTGTTTATAAATGGCCTTTAGCCTTAGATTGGATTTTTTTTGTACTTTGAAAGTGATTTTTAGATGGAACTATGGATTTACCTTATTAATAAAATGTTAATAAATTGGGAGAGCCTGGTGTCCAAATCGTTGTTCTTAGTTTCACAACTCATATAATATATAGGGTGTCTCGAAAGTAGCTGGAGGGCACTGCTTTGTATTTGTTTACCAAAAATTATTGGTCTGCATTTTTTTCTTTAAACAACAGATCTGAATTGTGGTGAACACTTTCTTGCGCTTGCTCTCACTTAATCTGTTCACATTGATTGTGGGCTGATGAAGGTATAAAAAGCCATCCCCCAACTCCTATTCATTCTCCCCACAACCTCCCCTTTCTCTTTCATGATACACACATACACACAAACACATACTCATACAGAGATCTTCTCTCACAAATATAATGCAGCCCAATGTCTTCGGGAAACAAATACACAGCAGTGAAGTTTCCACTCCTTATAAGACATCCTGTGTAAGCTACCTTTACAAGGTATTATAAAATTCATATTTTAGAATTGAAAATAACATTCACAGTCAGTTTTACACCCTGGTTTTTCCTTTTTCAAAGTCATATTTTTATTGCATGGTGTTGTTGCTGTTGTCTAAACTTAAAAACATTTTCCAGGTAAAAAAAATAATATTTTTAGAGTAAAAAGTATTGTTGAACGAACTCACACAAATACAACATTTATGCTAATTAAAGTGAGTGAAAACTGGTAATGTTTAACTTAAATTGATAACATGTTAATTAAAAATCTTATTCAGGCATCCAGTGGCTGTGTTGTTCCATGTCCTGTTCCGAGGCTTGGCTCTGTTGGCGTACCTTCTGTGTGGACTTTTCAGCTCCAGCTTCATAACAAACTTTGTCGTGGTAGTGATCCTCTTGTGCATGGACTTCTGGACGGTCAAAAACGTCACCGGTCAGTTCTTCCTTTTGGACGTAGGTGCTTGATGGGCACTTTGATGCTTTCTGCTCCAACTACTTTCTTTTTAATGTTGCCTTCGTTCTTACCTGTTTTCCAGCTCTGATATATTATTGTGCTTTAAAACAGAGTTTTACTCAAATTTGGCTCAGTGCCACAGCAGCTTGATAAGGTTAATTTTGTGGTGCAAAATGATGGCTTTCAAGTTTTCAAGTGCTAAATTGCCATTGGGTAATCCCGTGTTCTCAATACTGACAGCTAAAAAAAGGTAAGGAATATTTGCTGTCAAGTTCTATTTATAAGAATAGCAACACCTTTTGTTCATTTCTGTAATGTTTCGTTTAAATGTATCAGATATCTTTCATTACATGGCTTGGTATATAAAAAGTTACGTTTTCTTCTTGCAGGGAGATTATTGGTTGGTTTGCGCTGGTGGAATTATGTGGATGAGCAAGGAGAAAGTCACTGGATTTACGAGTCTCGAAAGGTTATTAGCCTACTACTGATGTTGCACCCTCCTTGTATACGGTTCTCTTAAACTTATTTATAGTAAAAAAAAATTGTTTAATTTTCTACAGCACAACTTCCATAGCAGTTAGTCACTAAATTGATATTCTGTAAATAAACTGCGTTTAAAGAATTTATTTCTCTACTGACTTTAGTGGCTGTTTTCCTATGTTACCCTATTTTTAACTCTCATATAAATGGGTTTAGCAAGATTGAACCCCATACTCCATGTCTGGCCCTTTTTGTGGGCTTTTCTGGCTTCTACATTTTGGTAATGTTATCTAGCTTGACTTTAATCTTGTTTTGCAGGAAAATGCTCTATGTTCTGAAGAATGTAGGTACAATAAATCCTTTCCATCTAATGAATATTTTCTTTTTTTTTAAAATATGTCTGCTATCATCAACCTGTATCGGACGAAGTTGCTAATTCAGTTTCCCTCTAAAAATGCTATGTGTACTTCTTATCTTAAAAAAAAGCTTAATTTAGACTTTCTCACCCTGCATGCAGTATGTTTGATGGGGATCCTCAGTAGTGTACTGATTGTGGGCAGCTGATGAACAGTAGTGAAAAGTCATAGGTCATATAAATTTTTATACAAATCTATGAGTCTGGGAGCTTGAACTTTGTAATTTTTGAGAGGCTTTCATACTCATTTGTTTGTACATTTGATGGAAATGTTTCAAAAGTTTAACACCTGACTTGTTATTAAGTTACATTATTATTATCAATTGAGCTTAAAGTGCAAGGGACCTGCATGATTATCTTCACGAAGAGAAGTCTGAAGAAAAAGCACTGATTAACCGCAAAATTTGAATGAGTCCTATTGGAAAGGTAGAAAGTGTAAGCAATAAGATATGAAACAAAAAATACCTCCAACTTTACTCAGATGTTGTATCTAATACTAATACTTCAACTTTCAGTTTTGAGAATGTTAGCTTTCATGATGCTCATTTCTTGAAATATTGTGTTGTGTGAGCTAATGGAGCTTTAGAAATATTTGAAATTTGAAATCTTTATAATCTCTTGTTTCAGGGATCAGGAACCATCAAAATTTCTGTAGCAGAGTCTAGGATATTCTGGATGTCTTTGGTCGTCAGTCAGATCTTGTGGGTGTTTTTCTGCTTCGCAACTATATTCACATTCAGCTTCAAGTGGATTGTAAGTACTAGGAGAAGTACCGAGTTGCTCTTTCCATTGCCACTTTACTATTTAACGACTGTAGGCTTTGCAGATAATCCTCTTGAAATTAGTCTCAGAAATTATGATGTAGTTTGAAATAGTATAGAACAGATTCCTTCCAACCTGAAAAAGAAGCTATAAATATGTCATTGCGTATTTTTGAAGTTTGCTTGTTAAACTTACATATATGGCTAACATCTGCGTTTGTCGTGGCCGCGATTTTTGGCCTTTTTTTGTAAGCGAATCGCGGCCGCGATTTTTGCATTTTTCAAAAAGAAAAGGCTACTTCATAGCATAGACGTGTATTTTGATAATCTTAAGGTGTCCATGTAGATCTATAGTTATTTTCACTTAAAGAATAATAATAGTTCATTAAATACTATTTATTATTTTGCTGTTTGTCTTTTATTTTTCCCTCTTTGTTGGTGTGTTAATTTTTTGTGGGTTTTTTTTTCTGATCTCTGTGTGTGTGTTTATATAGCGTAATGTAATTTAATTTGATGTTCCTACATAAAAAAAATAAAAATAAAAATAAAATAAATGTGTTATGTTTGAGCGTGTCTCCACCAAAACCGAATACTGACACTGGCAGTTCCATAATTTACATGTAATATCCTGTACTTTTTCTTGAATAACACATGTTTAGAATCTTCGGATAGGTGGACACCCGCCCTTATTTGTTACTTTCTGCGGTTGTTAGCGTGCTGTTCTAATTTTGATTTCATTCTGTTGTGAAACCTTTATTTTTCACGTTTTTACAATCTTATGTAGCTACAAATAATATTCTGGATGCTTAAAACAGAGCACAAGAAATTCTGGTGCTTTAGATTGAGCTACCTCTATCAATATACAATATATTATGTCGTCACAGTTAGTAGAAAGCTTGAAAAGTAATGGCAACTTTTTGGGCAACTTTTGCCATTTTTGTGGCAACTTTTGGACAAAAAAATGGCAACAAACGCAGATGCTAGATATGGGATTTGTAGCTAAATGGTGAGAAATCTGATGTTTCTCTCTTTCATGACTGAAATCTTTTGTATGGTTAAATGTTCAAAGAGGACTGAAATTTTCATCATCGCAAAGATACTGGTTACCAGAGAATTTTTTTTTTCGAAACTTGGCAAATTTGTAATACATGTTTTCAAGTCTTGTTTGAACTTGTTGTAACAAAATTGTGATAAAGATTTGTCGTGTTTTCATTTTAGTAATTTTTATGACACTTGCAACACAATTAGGTCATATTATACGTGCTGAAAATTAGAGGGGCTTCAAGAGAATAAAAATCACAAGAAAAAAAGAAAGATCAGGAAGACAGACGTTTAATAGGAAAGGAGAAAACCACATGAGAACGCCCACCAACCACCCACGAAAATCTGTTGAAAGACATTCTTAAAGTTTCTATTTATGATATGATATTGGTATGCGGTAATTTTGTAAACAAACTTCATCTTACCAGCTTACTTCATTATTTGCTCCACAGATGGTTACTGTAGTGGGGTTTCTGATGAACGGAGCAAACGTGTATGGCTATGTGAGGTGTAAAGTTGGAGCCAAGAAGAGTTTGTCCTCTGTGGCTACCAGCTTTTTGTCAACACAAATGTTCAGATCTGTGAGTTAAGATTTTTTTTCCTTGGTGTATACTATTACTATGTAGCTTGTCCTACCATCATTGTAAGGGTTGAGGGAGACTCAGCAAGTGGATGACGACTCAAGAGCAGACAAGGAGGGCTTTTAATGGTGGATGTTTTGTGTCAGTACAAAATTAGGAAGGCAAGAAGCCATAGTGTCTCCATTTGGCCTTCATTAGCAGTAAAATAGGATTGTTTTTCATTGTTCTTAATGGAGATTTTAGAAAACATGTCCTTTGTTTGTTTGAAAAGATATGCTAATATTGAAACCTGTGATATTTGTACTTAAAAAAATAAGTGAAGATTTATTTCATGAAAGTTTGCATGACCGTAGAAGTGAGTAGTATGTGTCTGTACAAAACTGTCGGTTGAAAACAGGTGTCTGCAGGGAAATCATCCTCTAGTTTTTTGTTCCACGATCTGTATTTTTAGGATACTTTTCTCCCTCAGACCGTATCAAGTAAATGATGAAGGTGTGCATTAATCTTCTCTGGGTTCCTAATGCATTTTGAGCTGGAATCTAAGCAATATGTTTTTAAGTACATGAGGGATGGGTCCATTTTGTCATTCACTTTAGACTTGGGTCATGGTTTTTTTTCCTGCTCAGATGCTCTCTTCAGCTGCTTCTGCAGCCACCAAGACCGATGGCTCTGCTTCGGAGAGCAAGGCAAGTGCAGAAACCCAGTGAGTGTTGTGAAGGTTGATATGAGTGACCTTCGACCTTGGACTCACAGGCTGCCACATGTGGAACAAGGGACTATTCTCAAAGGTTATAATTTATATTCTTTTCTCTGAGATATTGATTATTTGTTTGGAAATTCCATTCCTACTGTTGTTTCTCATCCTATTATAATATTTCTGGTATGATATCAGCTGTTGGTTCTTTGAATGTTCTGACGCATTGTGGATTTCATTATGTGTACATGTACAAATAAAAAAATTATGGAAAATTGTAATAAAATGTGAACACTATTTGCTGAGTAGGTTTCTATTGACTTTTGTATATCTGCTAGATAATACTAAATTATAAGGGTATGCCCTTTTTCATTAAAAAAAAAGTATACTCCACTTTTTTTTTCCAAGTTCTGTATCTATTATCTATTTGTGGTGGCCAAATTTTGCTATTCAAAAGGCTTTTTAATGGCTTCATCTATCGACATGCGGTTTTCGGCAAAAAATTATTTAAAATATTCTCCAGATCATAACGCCCTTGGTTTTTTTCAGTTAGGAGACAGTTTTGCTGCAAAAAGCTAAATTTCTTTATTTCGCCGATTGCTTTTTGTAGGCCGACGCTTCTGTCTCTAATTTTAGAAAATCCGGAGGTGATATTTCGCGAGGTGCATTTTGTTTTGAGAATATAAATCTAGACCTTCTCATTTTTTGCATCTCTCAAGATTTATTTCCCCATTCCAGTAGAGTGTAAATATAGTAGGCCAATGACTTTTAGTTGATATTAAAGCACTGATCATTCCTTTCATCGAAAGGGGGCCCAGATTGTTTTTATATACTTCTTGTGTCAAACCCATACTTTGCCTATTATTTATGTGTGGCTTATGAGGATGGTTAAGAACCATAACACTTATTAGTTGTCATCAATCATTTTGCCCCTACTTTCAGTTTAGTTTTTCAATTTCTTCGACTTCAAATGACACTCGTGCTGACACTTACTACAAGCTCATTGTATATTTAAATCTTATGATTTCTCTCATTTGAAATGGTAATATAAAACTTGCTGGTTTGAGGTGGGACTTTCAAAGGTAGATTGAATGCTTTAGTTGTGTGGAGTGTTGCCATAGTAATGTGCAGGCATTCTCCTCACTCTCTGAACTTCCCAGTTAGGAGGTCATGTGGTTTCAAGGTCACGGAGGGTTTCTCAGCTGTGATATTTTCCATGTGCCCTTTCTCATGTGACTTCTTCTCTTGTTCTGAGAGCTTGCAAGAGTTGTTTTTTTAATTTACATGTGGGTGCATTTGTAAATAAAGGAGTGTATTTGTATATATGTGTGTGTGAGAGAGTGTGTATATATTGTGCATTTGGGAGTTTGTATTTGATTGAAAGCTTCTATTCCATCCAAAATGACAACTTGCAGCATGTCTGTAGCATATATATATATATATGTCTGGCTTGAGATTGTTTAGGTTCTTATTTCCAGCTTTATATTCAAAGTCTGTATACTAGTTTGACTTAGATTTTAGAACTCTGTATGCCAATTTTCTTGATAATTCCAAGCATACTAAAGTATTGTGAATGTCAAACCTTGTCAGGAGACATTTTTCTTTGTGGTGTTTTTGTGTGCCGTAAGCGTTGTTAGTCAAGGGAAGATCTGAAGGATGGACTGCCATTTGAGTTAGTGGCAGTTCTTCACTACTCTGTTTCCATTTGAATTTACAATCGAAATTGTTCAAGAGGACTGAAGAAAGACTTCTCTGTGTTGTTCATTGATTGATCTTTTATTATTCATTACAAATGGCTGATGATGATTTCATCTGTGAACACATAGATTTACAGAGACGATGAATGATAACAGTATGACGTAACATGAAATAACATGGGGTACATCACTTAACGTACTGATGCAACTAGCATGAAGAACATAAATAACATATAACACATAACCATACATCCCCCCCCCCCAAGTTCATGGTAGATTCTGATCTTTCCTTACCCCCCACCCCTGGTTTTCTTCTCCCCTGCTTCTGAGGTTTGACCGTTTCCTGAAATACCGAATTTTTGCTATAAAAATTACACGCCTTTAACTTAAGCATGGTAACTTCGGCTTCAGGCACGCTTCATTACAAGACAGTCAGTACTTTTATGATGACCTATCGAAGTTCAAACACAGTCTACTCTGCAGCAGTGGAGTGTGTTAAGAGAAAAACAGAGAACGCAAGTGATGGAGACACACTCACACGCGTGGAGAGGAAGACAGAGAGATGCACGCAGCCGCGCGCGTGAACATAGGCTATAGTCTAGGGCAAAGTTACACAGAGACTAAAAAATACAAAGAGAGTTAGGGAGACGAGAAAGGGCGGCTGGCTGCGATTTCACCTTTGATCCTCGCAATCCATTAATCTTGATTGTGTATCACGCACGAGGTGGGTTGAAGGCGGTGGTATGAACGTGGCACAGCGGGCAGTGGTACGCACAGGCAGCGTGTAGGCCTAGTGTGCTGTATCGTGACTGGCCGTCTAAATTAAGTTTTCATTTCCCATTCGACCACAAAACAAAAACAAACAAGCAAACAAAAACTACCATGGCGTGTAAAAATAACAGTGCACATTTTTGCGGGACAGCTATAGGCCTACTTACAAACAAAGGGAAATATCACGGGAAATTTTCTACTTGAAAATCTCTGGATTATGTCTACTTCGCACTCAAGCATGCTTCGGCATTAAGCACGTTTATGCTTTCTCCCGATGACCGTGCTTAAAGCCGGCATGGACTGTATTCGTTTCAAGTGTCTCTCCAAAGGTTACACAACATTGGACCAAGCTGAGCCTCAACAAACCCCTGAACCGGCAATCTCACGATTATGAAAACTAACCATTAGACCACAGATGCCACCTGAGTTTCTTGGTATCAGTCACATTTCAGTCGTTGAGATTGAGATAAATGATCATGAATGTGATGGTGTGTCATATCTTCTATTATGATGTAATTGACCCTGCTGTTTGTGGACTTTTTGCTCTTTGGCTCAGAGAAATGCTTGGAGTTGAGTATGGGTGCAAGAGTTGTAGAGAGAGATGAGTGGACGTGATGTATAGTTGAGAAGTGGTGTATGCTGTGGGGGTAAATGCTGCAGAGGTTTGGACAACTGTACCAGTGACGGTAGGTGTGTTGGATTAATTATTAAATGACCGTCCTTTTTCCAAGAGGATTAATGTGAAATATTTGATTGTGTACAACCAACAATTCCAAATTAATTTATTTTTTAGATTAAATCTTGTTAGTAGTTTAGGGTCATCTAGATATGAGTTGTTTGAAAAGATGCTAATTCATTGGTGATACTCTTTTGCTTGGCTGTGGTTTCAATTGACAGCAGCAGCATAGGATCAAACTTGGTGGCAATCTCAGAGAACCCCTTATGCGACACAAAAGTTTTGTTCTCAACCATAGACAAATTGTTTGTTTGTTTAGCATAGGGTTTTACGGCGCTCGCAACTGCAAAAGGTCATATGAGCGCGCGAAACACAAGTTGGTTGCATTCGCAACAGTTCACTGCACGGTTGGTCAACTATTAGCTAGACTTTAAAATGCTAAAATATTAAAATTAGGTGTATATATTTTCAATTTAAAACAACTCTTATAAATAACAATAAAATTTTTTTAACAATATTGTTTCACTTCATAATTTGCCATAAAGTTAAAGGCCAATGGCCTTCATAAAATTCAAAATTTTGTTGGGACCAACGATGGAAAAAATGTCTTGCAATTTCTTGCTTTTATATTTCCTTCGGATCTCTCCAGTCTAAACATTCGGTTAAGATGTGTCTAATGGTAAAATCTGTGTCGCGTCCGACACAGAACGGCTTCTCGTCTCCCTGTAGGAGGTATTTGTGGGTCAGGGCCGTGTGTCCGATGCGCAATCGAGTAAAAATGACTTCGTCTCTTCTGGAGAGGTCCGAAGGATTTTGCTGTTCCAGTTTGGGTTTTATATTATACAGTTTATTATTTTGACCCAGCAGTGTTCAGATATTGGAGTCATCAGTAACGATGGAATGTGGTTGTATTTATTGGCCAAGTTTTTGCTCTTTTGATTTAGTTCTCTGAAGTTATTGTCTATCCCTTTCTGTGGGTTATGTCAGTAATGAAAAAAGAATGTTTGAAGACCCTATTTGAACGTAGGCCAACAAGATGTCCTAAAAGCTCACTAGAATAATAAAAGTTTGAGTGTTAGCCTAAAGTGCAATGTCAATGTTGTGTAAATTTGAACTACAGATAATTTATTGTTGTTTGACACCTGCCATGTACTGGGAGGACAGCGATGATAACTCAATTATTATTTTGTTGTGAAATATTTTCTGTTATAGTTATGGTAGCGATTCCGTAAGAATCCTGCAAGGTTGCCCATTGCTGTCTCAGAGGGTCTCACCTTGTCAACTTGGGCTGTCTTTTGCCTCTGAGGGATATGCATATTTTTGTTATTATTACATTAAAGGCTGATGATTGACAACAAAATGTAAGACTGATTTCTTGTTTCTCGTGCATGTGTGTCTTCACCTAGATGAACTGACTCTGATTTCTCTATAGGTTGTGATCATCTTAAAGTTAAAGTGAAGCAGGGATGAATCAGAATGGCATGTCTCATTTTTCTTTTGACAGTGATGCTTTGCTTTAAGAGAGCTTTGTTTAGCATTTTGATTTCTCTTCTACTCCATGCAAGGTGACTCTTACTTAAAAATTGTCTAGATCTATACTTAACCATGATACAGTGTCACAAAACTTGAATTTTATTTAATTCATGTCTCTTTGCTGATAAATGATGTGTTAGTGTCTTGGTCATGATGATGATGGATCTGTTTACATCATATGGAGACAGTTGAAGAGAATCTTTCCTTTATTCTAGAGTGTACGACTATGAGAACCCATGCATGTTTCGCCTCTGCCAACTGCCAAAAGTGTGAACTCTTTTCCCTTCTACTTCTATAGGGCCCAGCCTGATTTGATCCCATGGTCCTTCAGCTCTCTGCTCTTTTTTGTTTGTTTATAAAGACATTGATAAAATATAGGTTAATACAGGGAGAAAGTAAGAGAGAAACACAGAAACAAAAATAGGGAATGAAAATAAGTACAACAACCTACCAATGATGCCTCCAACCACCTGCTCTTTGCACTTAGTCCTTCACGCCAACAGACACCTGTTGTACAAACTAACATAACAAGACAACAAGAAAAGACATTTCTACAGCAAAAATGAACAAAGCTAGGAAAGGAAGGGTATAGTATACAACAAAATCTGTTTTTTTTCCCTTG